TGTATTATTCGCAACAAAACCACTGCGCGCTATAACCTTTAAAAAAAATAGTAGAATTGATTCCAAAATTGTAAACTCAGATAAAATTACTATTCGGATAAATTACTTTCGATATACTTTGAAAAAATAAAAAATCTAGAGTGGTACTATATAACATAATATCTGTAGTCAAATTTTTTTTTATTATTGAAAACCTCCCAAAAAGGGGAAAATTACACTTTGACCGAAGTCAATTTCCAGGTTGTGTAATGTGTGGGTGAATCAACAGTCAACAAGTAATGAAAATATTTTCATTATATTGTTATTTACGATATATGGTTAACTGTGGCAATACATATTTATAGATCAACCCTAAACGTATCCACCCTAATAGTAAAAACTCATTTTTAAGCACACGATTGTCATTAGGTACCTATAATGTTTTTGTCGGTATTAATTGTATTTATATCTCTGAACACAAAAGTCAGAACCTCCCTTACTTACTCATTTACTACTCGTACTATTTCTACTACTACTTAGTTTAGTATAATATTTTCTTACTGTGCTTGTTACTGTGCCTGGTTTTGTTGACTACACTTATATAATGTTATATGTTAGCTATGATACGGTTTCGGCCTATTCGTCTTTGATAACATTATTTAATATAGAAAACTAATTTTTTGTAGATTGTTGAGTAACCAAGTGGGTATGTCGGCAGTGTCTATTGCACACTGTTCCAGGTATGACAGTTGTAGAACCGACTCATTTTGTTTTTAGAATACAAAATCAACATTTACTATTTTTACTGTGCTAGCTATATACAATGTACTCGTAAGTGAAATTAGGTTATATTATAAAAACAACAACTAATGAGGTAATAAAATGTACGCTATTTATATGTGTTGAAATCATTGGACTTTACACTAACCTTAATTTTTTTTTTTAACTCAAAAAATTTTAGTTCTTAAATCCTAAAAATAAGACCAAAAAAAAAAAAAAAAACCTTTGAAGTTTGAATAAGAGAAAATATGTTATATTACAAAATGGGCACACCTAATAAATGAGTGGATACATATTTTTACTTTTTAGTATGCTATTAATTATGGATATGTATTAGGACTAATCACTAACTACTTTAAATTTTAACCTAAGGGTCCTAAAATGTCATCTAAAAATTAGATCCGAACATTGTTCTCGAATAGAGCAGAGTTGAAAATTTGTTTGGGTTTTTTTCTTATTTTTAAGAGTAAAAGAGGAAAGAAATAAAAAAGTAAACTATTTATATAAACTCTTAACCACAAAAAGAATACTCTATAGCGTACATATGTACTTCGCCATTTCGGTAACAATGCTATGATTAGTATCCACTAAATACTCCGCATCTGGAGATTTGTGTACTTTTTGGTTTTTTATGTTCCTCATGTGTTCTTTAAATCTAATAATGTCTTAACTACATAGCTGTCAACACATTCATCACGTTGTATTTTATAAATCTCCGACTTTTCCTCTTCCCCTATTTTATCTTTGGTGCTACCTAAAAAATAGTATACTAATTGTACTCGCTTTTTGAAATCTACACCGGTGTACGTTGATGCTATAATATTTTGTTATTTTAAATATTTAAATGTTGGTCTTCATATGATAATTATTATTTAAATCGCCATCATTAGCATATCCGAGCTCCGTAGTCTGTATAAATAATTTTGTATTTATTTTTGATGGTGTTGAGACCTGTTCACCTAACTACAACACCACTCTTCCGACCATTATGATATGTTGATTATGAACACCATGTTGTTGGTATCTTCAAACCCGCCATACACAGCTAATATATTTATCTTTCTTATTATTCTAATATCCTTCTTATCGTACTAATTTTTTAACTGTACAAATTATATATTTTTTCTATGATTTATTGTGAAATATTGTAATTTATAAGCTCTGAATTGTTTAGTTAAACTTAATAGCATTCGAATACACTGACACTGACAGCTATCGCTTGCAATCGCACTAATTGGCAATCCTGAAGTAAGGTAAATAAACCTGTCTAAACAAATCTTTAATTCCAGGTACTCTAAATATAACTTAAGAACAGCAGATTACGATATCGCGTGGTTGGGCTACTGGCCAACACGTGAGGCTACAAAATGTTGTAAAGATAATAATAATAACAAACGATAGTTGGGGGTTTATTATAATGTTTTTTTAACTAGAATAATTAAAACATTTTACATACAAAAATAATTAATTTATAGAAGGAAGTCTTTAAAACGTTGGACCTATTATAGTAAATAATTCTGAGTTTTGCTAAGTATTTCCATTGAAAGCAATGATTTATTATTGCTTAGTCCAAAGAGCCAAGCAACGGCAGACAAACTACCATCTAAGTATCTTTGTTTTTCTAAAAAAATATACTACATTGCTTATTTAGGTGTTTTTGTCTACCAGGTGTCAACTTTTTTATCTAATTCTGATAGAAAAATAGAAGAATGTTTGTCAGCACAAATCCTGAAGATGCCCAAAAATTCTATAATGATATTTTTAAACAAAACATTGGAATCAAACAATAATTTTGAAGATGAAAATGGTGTTTTATTATATAGTCCAGGTACTCATTATTTTTTTATTTTATTTTATAATTAATCATTAATGATCGATAAGTTAAATATGATCTCATGAAGAAGCATTAATGTTTCTACAGTTCTTAATATTTTACCAGGTTATTGTAATTATTACCAATTAATAGTTCGTGTCAATATATTTTGCTAAGTTATCAATTTAAATACATGGTGAATGGTGATCAACTTATAGTGAACCATTGAACACCTCATTGGGTTTAATTAATAATTTAATTTTTTTTTCATTAAGTTTTTATACAATGTGATCTCAATTTCTCACAATTTTTTTGTTTTTACCTTCCTCTCAACTTCGTTTATTTGATAACAACTTTTGAAACTTTAAGTAACTGAAGGGTAACGCACACATTTTATATTTGTTTTAAATTAAGAATAATGTACTAAATATTTTGACTGGTCGATAACCAATTTTGGAACTATTTTTAAAGTTATAAGAGTTTAAAAGTTAGGATGGGAGTGAAAGTGCACGCAGATAAAAATAATACTACAATCCATCTTTCCTCCTGCCCTAAACTTGACACTTCAATAACATCAAAAATAGTTATCCAAAACTGGTTATCGACCAGTCAACATTTTTAGTGCATTATTTTCAATTTAAATAGTTAATGAAATCTATGCGTTACCATTTAAGTTTCAAAAGTTGCTATTAAAACAACTTTGTTGGGAAGAGGTGAAAACAAAAAAAAAAATGGTAAAAATTGTGTAAGAAACTATGAAAAGAAAAAATTTAATTTCTTGAAATAAATATTTATTTTCCATACATTACATTTATTTTTAAATTATTTATTACTTAAAGATTAAGTAAATATAAATAAAATAATAAAATGTATTGTAATATTTTTCAAAACAATGAAAATGATGTGTTATGAAAAAAAATGTTTTCTAAAAAAAACTATTACTTTTTTTTTAGACGTATGAAGTCCGGAAATCACACGTTTTGCAGCAAATCGAAACATGTAAACCTCTAAAATGTGATAAATATGATGTTATAATTTTATGATCGCTTTTCATTTCTGAACTTGTATCAACCCAACTCTGTCCCTTATGTTAACGGTTCTTACATGGACTTCATATTTTCCAATTAGAATTTAATCGGTCGTTACCTTATCAGATTTATTTGGTACCATTAGACTCTTACAATCCGGCATTGTTAACTCAATTACAGTGTAAAATAAACCCATCAACACGTCTGTCCTTCGTCGTAGTACTATATATCTTTAATTACGGTAATCATAAACAAATGTCACACTATTTAGGTTCTAACGATTGTTCGAGTTTGTGTGACATTAATATTGCGCTTGATTTTAAGTATCATAAATATTATAAGTATAAAATAAGTAAGCGACAGTAAGTGAAGATAAATAATGTTGTTTTCTCTTATGTTACCACCTTGCAATATTCGATCGGTAGTTGCTTCTGATCTTGGAATTGATATCTGACCCAGCGACGCCAAATAGTTATTTTGTGTGTATCCAAACTGATGCAACAATTAAAATCAGTTAACCTAGAAACACGTTACACGGACTTTTATATTAACATTTTTTAAAAATTTACTTTTTAAAAGTGTTTTAACTTTGATAAGGAACTGAGAATATGTGCATCACCTTTTTCAAATCACTTTTACCATAAAGTAAATTTTAATTATTTTGTTTAATTAAAATTATATAGCTTAACAAATTGTACTACCGAAAATCGTAGTATCATTGTCTGTGTTTATCTGATATTTACTATTAGAATCAGATAATAAGTCGAAAGTTAAAATAAAAAAACTTCAAATGCTTACCAAACAATACGCATGGATTTGCCAGAATCCATCGTAACAGAGACCTAATAGATGTACAAGTTTAGTCAAACGAATTGTTTAATTGTAATGGTAGAAATTCAGTTAATATGCAATAAAAAAATGATTGGAAAAAACATATTTTTAAGGTTTAGTACACATATGATATTACAAAAACAAATGTATAAAAAAAAAACAACATTTGAAAGTGGAAAATATGTGTTAATATATTTGTATAATCATTCACGTTCTTACAAATAAGTGCAAAAAAAAAACAAATACTAATACTTTAAAAAAAATTCACAAAAACTTTATGTTATGTCCATATGCAGAAAATGGTTAAAAAAACCTTTAAATTTTATATACTTTAAATGCATTTTGTTATTTCTTATGCTGTAAATTTAATTTTTTAAATAAAATGATAAAATAAAACAAGAAAAGTAGATAAATTGTAGTAATGTTTAAATTTAGTAAATTTTCATTTAATAAAGATTGTTTATTGATACTGAGGTGATATAATATCACGGCACGTCGTGACCTACAGTCCATTTATATATGATTATTATTATATTATGTGTAATAATATTATTTTGCTATCAAAACAATCTAAGTCTAACGTCAGTTTATATTAATTTCTACACCGACGTATCGCAAAAACTAGGTTGTACTATTGGTCATCGTAACCGGTTAGTAAGACAAGATATTAAATTTTTTAATATTATTAGTGTTTTACCAACGATAAACGAGTATTAATTATTCGAATTATTCAAAGACCAGTTGGTCAAATATCCAATTTCATTCCATTTACCGGTGACTTGTATGCAATGTCGCGTCGAGTGGAGTAGACTCTTACATTTAAAAAATATATACACAAAGAAGGGGATCAGTATGTACAGCTTTGTTAACATGGGTAGCACAAAATAAAAAATGGCTGTTAGTGTCGTTTTCTGATTGTTCCATGCGCACATTGCGTCGATTACAAAGTTGCTTGAATTGGATACCTCAATAAATTGGCCATCAATCATCCATGTAACTACAAACAATCGTTATCGTTAAAAGCGTTAAATATTATTATATTAAATTCTATGAACCCCGATCGATTCGAGGTTCAACTATAGCGTGTCGTCGTTCAAGATGCAACAGCAGCTCATATCTGATTTCAAGTTGGCCACACTGTTTTATTTCAATTTACGAGGGAAATCCAGGGCTTATTTTATACCTGTACACTTAAAAAAGGTTAATACTAAAATCAATGTAGTGGATTTTTCTATACATGAGTTGTGTATAAATATAATTTTAGGTTAAATGACAAGATAGTGGACTCTATGAGAAAATATTTTATTACTTTAAGACCTGTCCTCTGTGCTTTAATCTACTCTGCAGGCAATCGACTGACGGGCTTGGAATTATCATAAAGACAATAGATAACGCTTTAATCGAATAATCATCATAACGTCATAGAATGGTAATATTGGTAATTGAAACGGACTTTTTTTTAATCTACTGTCAAGTTTAGAAAAATGAGCTATGAGGTTGCATCTTAAGCGACGGTATGTACAAAAATCATCTCTAGACAGATGTCGTTATTTTAATTATTTTTTTCACGAAAGACGACGATGGTAGTTATAATTCATGACCATCAAGATAAGCTGCTGATTATTTAATGTATTTTTTGTTTTTCATGACTAATGTGCTTACTCAGTATTTCCAAAAAAGTCCAAAGGTGGCCGTAACTGAATTTGAGCCCTATTGCCATGAGGATGCTGATGTACAACAAGTAGAATAAAAAGTGTAGATGTCCCATTTTGATCGATCGCACGTAAGCTGAAAGACGAAAAGACCTATTAAAACTAATTAAGCAAAAATAAATAAATGACAAATGTATTTTTTATTATAAAGTATAGGTGACTTTCGTGTACATAATTAGTAGTCAATTTGGTTGCAAATATAGGTACATCATATTATGTGTTTAGACAAAAGTAGGTACAGGTATATACCGGGGGATTATTTTAACGCCCTACAAAATGTTTAGCAAGTTATTTTTAATTAAAAAGTTAATAGAACATATACGTTACCATTAAGTTTCAAAAGTTGTTATAAAAATAATTAGTTTGAGAAGGGGTTAAAAACCTAAAAACTCGTTGTTTCAAAAGATGATAAGACTCGAGAAAAAACATACAAATTTGAATATGGTCAAATATTGTAATACAGCATAAACAAACATGTTTTGAAAAACGACAACATATCAATTATTTTAAGTGAAAACTGGTGTAGTGCGTTAAGAAATCACAGGGTATTGTTTGGAAAGAGAGTGTTACATATTTTAGAAGCTAAATTTTTTTCCTACTATAGTTATCCTACAATGTCCCTATTATAACATGTGCTATATTTACTAGGTAGGAAGCAGGAAAACAGACTTCCGGCCAAGTAAACTAAATTTCGATTTTTTCATGACTGGTTTGATATGTCGAATGATTTTATTTGTTGACAACGATGTATAATAAATATATTACATTATGGTGCTTAGTTAGTTCCTATATTATATCACGTATTTTAAGCTTATGTAGAAACATTTTTTTTTTTTTTCCTAGCTACCATTTACACCGAGTTTACGAAGGGTTTTTGTTGGGATATCAGTATTTTTTTTTTTTTATATTATAATATAAAAATAAAGTAATAACCGTCAGTATTATTATTAGCAATTTATACACAAAGACAACACACCACAAGGTACAGCACAATACACAACAAACAGCTGTAGACATAACAATGGTGGGGACTCCCCCGATCCGACCCCTCACCATCGTGCACAACGTCTGGCACCGCGCGGTCATCATAATAATTTTTTGACTAAAACAAGTATCTGGAAACCTCAGAAATGTTCTTTTTTTTTATTGTAACTAAGAAAGTATTCAACCAATCGATAAGTTAATTTGTTCGTTCCGATCTACACGACTTTCCCAATCTATTGATATCTCGTATGTGCATTTCTGTCCAGCCCTTAGCCCACAAATTCATTCCGAAATTTATGGTAAAATTTACACGCGTTTAATGGGATTGCGGTGTTTTGTGTATAGTATACACGCCCCGGTAAGCGCTCGCCATTTTTTTTACTTAGCTTCGCGCCACTACCGTGTCGCTGGATTAAGTAAAAAAATACGTCTAACGCCGCTCACGACTATTCGGTTGAAATGTTTTGGTAAAATAACAACGATAAAACAATACTCACTCGGATAAGTTGAACGATTAGGCCTTGAACAATTTTCTTTGAGTTTTTCCTGGACGATCGATGCCGGCCGAAGGACGTCTTATTCGTGTAAGGGTAGCTGCAAAACTGCTAGAGCGGCATATCCAGGGTAAACTACACATCCAGCGTTTTGTCCAGGCGCCGAAAGCGACGGTAGCGCTGTGCGTCATCAAAACATAAATTAATTCAGATAGGTCAAAGTTATTTCGACATTATTTCAAACGATCAATAGTATTTTTGCGGGCTGAGGCGTATAATATTTCACCGTGCTAATTACATTATCACTTTCTGCAATCATCCGGTTCTTTCTTTGCCAATTTATTCGCACAACCTAAATTATGTCGTTCATACATTTTGCCTCTTAGCATTTTATACTATTTACACGGTTCCTTGTAGCATTCCTACACTATACGTGTTTTAACTTTTAGTTTTCTTTAAAATAATATTATACTATAAAGCTGAACTCGACCGAAAACTGTTATCTAGACGGCAAACGTTTTTCTTTGTACATCTAATTACATATTTTAGTTTGAGGTAATTTTGTTTGATATATTTCAAGAATAAGTCAATATAACAACGTGACATTATGACATGAATGGCAAATTTAACAAAGGAACGGATTATTCATGTCCACAATGTTAAAAATAATCACAGTTACAATATTATAAACAAATAGTTCCAATTAACTTACAGACGTTATACTATTATAATTTTATTTATTTATTAAATCTATGGAAAAAATTACATTGAATAACTTTGAGGAACGCTATAATATAAAATGTACGTATACTCTGTACACCTTATATATTATGTGTGATAGTTACAAAGATTACCGCAAATACCAAAATTGTCGGTAATTACCTTATTTCCGATACATACCTATTTTCGGTAAATTGTGTATTTTTGGTAAATACCGTAATTACCGGTAATATTTGAATACCGTAATACCGGTATTCAAATATCAAATACCGCCAGCCCTACTCTATGGCAGCAACTTATTCACCTAAAATTACCTTAATTTATAGAATTAATAATATCTTTAACATTTTGACTAATTGTGTTCGAAAAATATAAAAAATATTTCAAATATTGGACAATAATTTCATGAAACGCTAATAAAAATTGTTTATTTCTAACAAAATGTTTTATCAAAAAAAAAATATACATTTAAACGAACGTTATTAAAATAAGAACAAGTTTAAACTAAATGTTTTAATATTACCTACACTCCTTAAGCACGGTTAAATAGACATAGGTAAGAGCATCGTTAAAAGGAGTCTGATAACTACCGTTATACAATAATTTAATTATGATCCTTACTAATAATTTAATAAATTATTAGTATTCACCTGACGACATACGACCAATATTAGAGCTGCATATAATATAAGGGTGGTTGGGAAGTATTGGTGCAGACTTGTTGGGTTGGTGACCGCTTGCACAGCAGTATCATCAAAATGGAAATGACCAAATCCTTTAAAATTGGCTATGCCCTAGGATATAACGCAAAATGTAAGGTGTAAAAAAATGTAATAGAAATTATTTAAACATGAATAAAATAAAACTGTTCACCCCACCCTCAGAATGCTTCCCTCAGTATAGTTAATATAACAAAATGCTATTGACACTATACTCGAGAACTTGCAAAGTGACGAATGAAAGTTTGACTATTCGCATAATATATTAGAACACGGTTACGTGGAATCCACGAACACCGTTAAAATATTCTTTTGACTCGGATGACATTTCATAGGAATAATAAGATTAAAATGTTACTTACGAAGTCGTCCGAACAGGAATTATGCAAAGATAGGATATTGGTTAATACTGATTGATAAGAATGAACAATAAAATTGTAAGTATCAAGCATGGTTAAATACTGAAGTATCGAACACCGTTAAAGTACAATCTTATTTTATTAGTTCAAAAGATGATTTTAATAAATGAATCCCCGGGTATTTCTGCAACATTTCTCCATGCTACCCATAAAGCCATCCCAAGAGGTACTATCCATTTTTTACCATATATTTTTTACTGCTCAAGTGTTTATATTAATCGTAAGATACTTATTTATATTGCACATATGGTATTAAAGCATTATATAACAATGAACCTTGGTAAATTGATAAATATTTAAAAACTTTGGGATTTAAGGTTGATACTTTTTTTATAGGTTCATAATAAGCAGGACCGTTAATCGGCGCTTTATAATATACCGATATCCGCATAACAATAATTGTGTACTATCACAAAAGTAACAGACTTGGCCCGTCATCGACAGTTTAAAATTAATACCGACAACTCGAATTACCAAACATCTGAATATTTTATTCTAAACGACAATGCGAAAAAATTGAATTTGCATCAAAACTCAAACGCAACAACGCCGACGGCGAGGGCCAGAGAAATGACTCGTCACTCGAGTATCAATTCGAGAGAATGATAAGTGACCGCTGGTAAATAATGAATATGTTATCAACTTTTTTTTCTCGACAACAGGGGTTCTCCAACTACCGCCGCCGTTGGAGTTGGGGGTAGTTCTTCCAAAAAATGATAACACGTGATAAGAAATAAATGTTACATAACCTATAAAATGTGTAACACTATAGATAGTACCAATATCGATTTTACCAAAAACCCGCCAAAAGAAATTTCGAATTTTAATATCAAAAGCATTGCCTTTAGTTAGGTTCTAATCTTTATTGCAAATTGTAGCTAGATCTTTATCAATTCTCTAATTAATCGTGTATTCACTATACACGTAAAATTATATAATGCAAAATTCATAATAAATTACATTATATTAGTGTATATACATAACTTATAAGTATATGTTATAATTTTATATTATTTAGTATAAAATAATAATAATTTTATTGAAATTTCCCACAAATTGTTTGTATTACTATTTAAATAAAACTTTACTTTTTACCTAAATTAGTTGACAGATTGCAAAATTTGGCTGTCAAGTATAAATTAGTTTTACCACATCTTACATATGTATTCTGTAGTTAAAGAATACAGGTAGGAGTTTATGAGCTTTGTCTTCAATCTTGTCTTTTAGAAGATATATTATTTGTAGTAGCACTGTTGTACTATCATTAAACTTATTATCAGTATTGTGATACAATTTATTTCCTAGACTTTTGTACATGTGTGTTCTATGTCAGTCACGTTGTTATTATTACTTAATAATTAAATCATGTTCTTGAATACAAATTAAATGTGTTTTAATTAATTAATCAATTGATACAAATACAAATATACAACATTATTAACAAATTTTGGTACCTAAAAGATATATTAAAGCAAGGAAAACGGAACATATGACAATTGTAGTTTAAATACCTCACATAAATAACTAGAATAAAACATATTTAATTTTCAAGTTTCTACACAAATCAATACATACATTATAAACTTACAGTCCAAAGTGAACCTATTGCCGGATAAAGACTTGTGGTAAGAAAAAAATTGTTGTACAGCCCTTTTGCATGGGATAATAGGTAGATAATAAGAATATTGCATAATATAAAATTATTGTAAACTAGATTAAAAATTTCTGTTATATTAATAC